AGCTCCTCCGCTATCATCGCGTCACTGCCAACGAGCTTTGCTGCCCTCCCATGCACCCATCCAGCCTCGAGATGCACAACCCCATCCCTCCCCCTCGCTTTCTCCTTTCTTCTCTTGCTCTCTCTCTCCTGCTCCTCCCATCACCATTCGTGTCGACGCCCGCCGCTTGGTCACCCTCCTCCGCTGCCACCGTGTTGCTCTCGGCGACCTTCGCCACCCTCCCACGCACCAATCCAGCCTCGAGACGCACAACCCCATCTCTCTCTCTCTCTCTCTCTCTCTCTCTCTCTCTCTCTCCTGCTTCTCCCATCACCTTCTGTGTCGACGCTTGCCGCTTGGTCACCCTCCTCCGCTACCGTTGCCCGGTAGCGAGCGGTCCGTTGGGTTGCCCTCCTCCACTAGGTGGTGCTTCTCAGCTTGGACACCCTCTTCCCCTGATACCGCTTGATAGTAGGCGGTCCGCGTGTCGGTCTGCTGACGAACCGGTATATACCGCTCGTACCAAGTGGTACAATACAGTTTTAAAAACCTTGAGGAAAACATTGAGATTATGTTTAAAATGCCAAAAGGACTTTCATAGTTCCGCTAGTTGTTATGCTGTCATTAAATCATTTGCATATTTAGCATAAATATAGCATAATTCTGATTGATTTCAAAGTGCAGTGGTCTGGTTACATCAAACCAAATTGGCAATTATTGTCAACTCAATAACAAAGGGGCAATATTTGGTGCAGATTATTTCTGTTGCAATTCAAAAGGCAGCCTGCTGCATATATTAACACTTCAATTCCCAACTCAAACATTACAAGTACCAACAAACTGATAACATTCAGTATGAGCCAAGAAAATGAGCTTTCAAGTTGAAGGATTGATGAATTTATAATATTGTATGATGTACTACTTACTCCTTTCTTCAGACATACTAAGAGAATAAGTTTTTCAAAATAGAGTATAACAGCATAGTCAAGACACAACGAAGATACTCCTACAAGGAAATATTCATAATTTCATATATATGTAAACTTCTTTTTCAAATGTTTGTCTTGGATATTGAAATTTCCAATATCCTAGAACTAGAAGTATTACTTTATAGAAGGGTCATCTGGATTAGATGAGAGTCAATTTTAGAGAAAGAAGGAATGATTCTGAAATGACATGAAAAATGCAAAAGGATAACATGTGTGAAAGTGCTTTAGTCAAAAGCAACTGTACAGAAGAGAAAGACCTTGAATGTTTCTTCTCAGAATCCGAGGCGATGACCAGGAAAATGATGTGATGCTGCAGTGGGTTGCCAACCTATTCTCCTAGACTAGGTGATCACTATGATCAATCAGCGCTAATGTTATATCCAGCAGATGGCACTCATGCTTAAGTTAAGGAGGCCAAAAAGATAAGAGAACTAAATGATATCAAGGCCAATCTATAACTCGCTTTCCTTCAAAGGAGCTGTGGTCCAAGAAAATTTACTCAAAATAGCAAGAGAAGAGAAAATTCGACGAGTGGAAATAAATAACAAGCAGAAAGTCAGTTGGAATGGTCCATCGACAGCTACCTGACAGGTTAAGATTTTCTGACCCACTTCAGTTCTATACGACAACAGGATTCATTTTGAAGGTTCAAAATGAGGTGACGAGCATGACATACTCAACTGGTATTTGTGTATGACCAAGACTCATTGGTAGCCGGTAAATTATCCAATGGGCTTCTAAAGATAACCAAGAAAATACTTCTTTGAATTGCTTCATACAGCCACAAGCAAAAAAATTCCCTAGCAATGATGCCAAAAGAAGTGATGTCCCCATGTTTTCTCCTCTCTCTTTCCATCTGACTCCGAGCTTAAGATATGGTGCAATGATGCTCATACCAAAAGAAAGCCACTGGCAAAACAACTTAGCTAATAAATACCCAATATCAGTTCAGATTCCAACCATGTCATCACTTGAACTGCTAACCAACATGCAAAGAGAATGTATCTTAGAACTATACTGACTATAGCCAAAGAATTCATAGTTTTCACAATCTCTTAAACGACCAAAGACTTGTATGAGAATCCAACCATGCCCTCACTTGAACTGCTAACCAACATGCAAAGAGAATGTATCTTAGAACTATACTGACTGTAGCCAGAGAATTCATAGTTTTCACAATCATCTAAACGACCAAAGACTTGTATGAATATAATATAACTGATATGTGTCCGTATTGCACTGGGACCATACCCTACAATCATGCAAGATACCTCTAAATGCTTAAAAAATTAACTGACGAGGATAAAATTTAAGTACAACAAAGTGTAATAAAGTTGTGCACAAGACACAGTAGCTAAATACTAAACTATCTCAAAATTTGACTTTCCAGGAAAAGTACCAGAAAGAAAAACAAAGTGTAGCTTTGAAACTCACAGTATCTGCAGCGATGAGATTGAGACCAACTCCTCCAGCTCTAGTTGAGATCATAAAAACGAAAGCAACATCTTGTTTATCTTGATGAATCACATCACCTTTGACTGGTTGTTTACTGAAGCTTCTTATTGCAGCAAATCTCTCCTCAGCACGTACAGATCCGTCAAGCCGTTCATAAGTGTATTTACGCAATTCCAGGAAGTCCTAGATTGTGTGTGTTGAAAAATATATAATACCAGAAACACAAGCACAACAAAAGATGCAAATAACCAATTTAGTCTAGAACAAATAGGATTCACCTGTAGAATGTCGAGTGTACGAGTCATCTGAGCAAATAACAAAACTCGGTGTCCTGCTGCATAGAGTTTTTGGAGCAGCAGGTCCAGAATAATAAGCTTCCCGCTAGCCTGACCAAAAATTTTACAAAAGAAAGATAAAAAAGCCTGCCATTCACAAAGGTGCACCAAAATCAGCGGTCATTTGCCTAGTAAACAGCTACTGAAGCCAGGTGCCTGAGATATATCTGTCAATCAAGACTGATAATCTCTGGAATGTGTTGACAATAGTTTCAAATTTTCAATTACCTGAACCAGATGCTCCCCTTCTTCATATGGCTCAGGTTCCATACCAGTAAAGAGATAAGGATGGCTACATGCTTTTCGAAGTTGTATTACCTGGTAAGGATTAGGGAAAACATTATCTGTACTTCTGTAGTACCTTGGAAACATCAGCAGGTACATAACTTAGCTAGAGACTAGAGTAACTGTATAAACTATGATAAAAAAACACACAAATAGGAATCCTATGATTCTTATATTTTTATAAGAAATGTCATCTAAATATGAATAACGATATACTAAAAAGGGCCATGCTTTATTACTCTAGGGCAAAAGAAAATGAATGTAAATTCCATAAGTTAAATGGCCAATCGACATGTTTAATCTTAAGCATAGCTTATGTGCCTCAAAATTCTAGGACTTAAAGAAGTTTTGCATTGTGTTATAATTAGCATTACCACCTCAAGTCATCAAATTATTTTGTATGGAAAGGTTCAGTAGAAAAACAAACTTACGATAACATTACAATGAACATATACCAGAAATTCAGATTGAAATGCTGTACAAGTCTACAACACATAGTTGATAAAGTACACATTTTTACAGCATATTAAATTATGTGAAAATTTGGCATACAATATTCCGCAAGGACTGATTGCTAGTACTTCCCAACGAAATTGACAGTAGTGTTTGAAGCTCCTTTCTCAATATTGACATGTACACCTTCCTCTGCAACGGCATCAAAGGTGCCATCCTATACACAACACCAGATATATTAGCACCCAAGGAACACTATCAAAACTTGCTAATTGATCCATGTGAAAAAACCTTCAAAGATGCAAGATAGACATCTGATACTGATATTATAATTTAGTTTCACAACAAAGGATCTAACACTGTAATCTCAGTAAGAGGAGGCAGAGTCAAAGTTCCCCTCTCAATAAGCACTGCTTTTGTTCTCCGGAGCATAAACGCTCTCAATATATATCTGAGAATTCCAAATTGCCTCTTTACCCTATCTGATTCAGACCCTGCAGATAAACAATGGAACATAGGAAAAAGTTTATAATGTAATATTTCTCTCTAAAACGCACCAGTAAAATGCTGCATGATGGCTAAGATCAAAGAAAGAACAGAAGGTGCCTTCATGTCTTCTATCGCTAAGTATCCCTAAGAATCCTAAGCACCAGAATCCAAGACATCTAATCACAAGAAGACTGATTCTTTCGACGATCTATAGTCATTTTTTTAATTGCAAACCTATGTCTCCCACAATGCACATGATAGATACAAAAAAGTGGTTTATTCATTTTATTAAAGAATGGGTATCTGATGATTATTGAGAACAGGGAATGCTCAAAAAAGAAAAATGGAAGAGGAAGAGATAACTGCAAGCCCTGATGCATTTTAGATCATTGTAGTTTAGTGCATAGAATTAAAAAAAATGATAAACCTAAAAGTCAATTTAAGAAGTAATACAAGTGTTAGGGGAAATTGATTTATCATTTATCCTAAATAAGCTTGCCGGGTTGTTAGCATAAAAGCTTGCATCCTTAATTGCCAGGTGATACAGAAATTCTTCGCCATCCCTCCAAACTAACCATCCAACTGATAGTGGTCAATCAACCAGAGAAGTTTCTAGATCAGTATCATTACACAACGTACTATCCTTTTCTTCCAACTTCTACTTATGAAACCAATAAAAGAACATACATGTACAAAATGAAGATCAAATAGTTAAGTCCATATCTACTACTTTTATTATTATGTAAAGAGCAGAGCTATATCAAATAGGACTTCTAATTTAAAAGTTAAAATAAAAGGAGATTGAGGATGTAATTAGAAACTGTAATGGACCTGAATGCGTGAACCATAATTCATTGATATAATTTGTTACGCATACATAGAACACCAGACATGTTGCATTTCTACATTCTCTTTAATTCTATGCCTTGATTGACAATTACATATTTCAAGTTTCATATATACCATCTTTTAATATCTTCAGCAAGAGCACATGAACAACAATTAAACAAAATGAAAGAAACAAGAAATAAATTAAGGAGGATAGGAAAGTCAAACACACAGGATAAAATATCATAATGTACAAGTAAAATATTTAATTACTATAGTCTTGTCTTTTTATAGCAAAAAAGATGGAACCAAGTGATAGACCCATTGACCCAACTGTGAAATTGCCATACAATCTTCATTTCACCAAGTTAATATCAACTGTGAGATCATAAACTTGGAGACATGAAACTAGAGAACCATTACAGAAACACAAATAATATGTAAAGTCAGGAATATGCTAACAAGTCAACAACAACTCATGTGACTACAAGTTGAAAAAATGGCTTGTTCTTCTTTTAACGCATAGATGGACAAAGTATAATCTTTTTTAGGTAAGAATACAAAAGGCAGAGTACGAAAAAATGAAGTGAAGAGGAAAACAAGAGGAAATAAGGGATTCAATAAAAGAATAATAAAGCTACATCTCTCACAATAGGGTCACTATCAATGGAAAAAGACTCAAAGCGGGCAAGTTTTTCAACAGAACATTGATTTTCTATTTCATAAATCTCTCAATGGAGCTCTTAAGAATCATATATGTATTTGTTACCATCCTTGGATTTTCTTTTTTAAACTGAAGTTATCAACATCAAATGATTACCTTTAGATGAAATTCCAGCCTCCTTAAATGTGGAAAAAAATTGTTCCAATGTCCCGAAAACAGCAGGCATACAAAAGTGCATCAAGGCCCATAGCTCTGTAAGGTTGTTTTGAATAGGTGTGCCCGTTAACAACAAATGTCTAGGCATGATAAATTTTTGCTCAAGCACATTATATAAAACCTGCAAAATGTCCAAACGTTACAAAAAGCATGCCAAAAAAAATAACAAAATGGAGAGCTTTCGAAATTGAAAACCAAGCCATGTTGGAAACAGTATGTTTCAGTTTACAGAAAGAAGTTGCCATCGAACTTGAGAATATATCATTAATAAACAGCAAGCAATGGAGAATATTGCTGATAGATCACTTACAAAATATTCTAATGCCACCAAACAGAATGTCAATACAATCCAGTCATCACAGAAAGATCAGCAAACAATAACATTAGGAACAACATTTCTGTAGTATCAGAGTTATGCGCATAGTTAACCCATTAATCCATAAATTAATGCTTAAAACCTTGAACATACACTGTAAGGATTTTTCAGCCGTTGTGCTTCATCAATCACAACATGATGCCAAGGAATTTGAGAAAGAAAATTCTGATCCAACAAAGCTATATCATACGTTGTCAACAACACATCAAAAGGTAAATCCTGCAGTTTTAACAAAAAAATATATGAAAGGATTAAAGTGGAAATTGAAGCCACCAAATCATCAAAGAGCTGCTACAAATTACACAAAAGAAGAGTGTTATAATTCACTGAAAGAATCAAATAGGAAAGTGTTGAGCTACATCAAGGAACGAAGACTTCCTTTGCAGATTCTCATACATCATCCTTCGAAGTCCGAGACGATGCTTTTTCTCACCAACATAAAGGAGAACCCTTAAAGTAGGACAAAATTTGGTAAACTCTGATATCCAACCATCTGTGACGCTTAACGGACACAATACCACTGCAAGGGTGGAATGAAAAGAGGGTAATTATCAAGCTGAGTATCGTCTTCAAATCTTAGCATACGAACATAACACATCTTTTTGGGGAACACACGCACAGAAGGGTCCACATGATAGTGACTGAATCTTCAGATAGCTCAAGAAAGAAATAGCTTGCAGAGTCTTTCCCAGGCCCATCTATCCAACATCCATGCAGCTTTAACAAGTCAGACAACAATTTGAAAGAATACGTGCGATTTGAATTGATATTTAATGCATATACCACATGACCATCTGTTCTGGCTACTGGACCAGAAACAATGAACCCATTTTCTTTATACAAGTAAAATCACAACAACCTAATACTACCTAAATTGCCCAGATATTCCATGTATCACTAAAAAGGCAGATGGAGAAGAATTAAAGCTCAAAATAATAAAACAAGAATAAAATAACTGAAGATAGAACATGAGTCAAAATATACTTAACAAAACGACATTCTTTCTTTGTAGTCATTTTCTATAAGATTTTACAAATATTCTTTAGCAAAATCCACAACTCGCTGTTGCTTCTAGATCAAAGCTAAGAAATACCAGCCTAACATCTTTTTTCCCTCAAACAAAAGCAATATGCATATCTTATTTGCTGCTTGTATTTTTTATTCTTTCAATAATGAAGATTGTTATCTGACATTCTTTCATGGGTTTGTTAATTAGATGGAAGATTTTAGAACCATTAGAAATTTAAAAGTGTACCGATAAATTCACAAGTAGTTTCCAGTACTTAAGAATGGAAAAGTGGTGTCTAATTTTTTTTCATTAAAACAAAGATAGATTAGCATCAAACTGACAAGTTACTATTGGTGGTCATCTTAGTCATTGAAAGATGATCATACGCCAAATCAGGTATGCTACTACAAGCAAACGTACAGTGTGATAGGGTAGCCTCTCACATAAACATGGTTAAACACGATCTTGCGTCATACAGCATGATATATATCGAACACCATAAACCATTATTGCACTATGAGGTTAGAAGCGGCTAAATGAACATAGCGTTGAATATCTACTCGACACACAAGGGGCACATTAATTCCGCAAACATGCCCTAAGCTCCACTAATTCGCTTTCTCAAGACAAAAAAGTTCCCAACGGTCAAAATATACCGACACATGAGCAACTATAAGGATTTCAATTGCTTCTTGTTAGTTCAAAGAACCTGACCTCGTCGCCTGCAAATGAACCAACAAACATATCATCAAGAGGGAAGGAGAGTAAGGAATGACGGTAAAGTAGACGATGGATCCAAGGGATTTCCACCTAGGATGACGTTGACGCCGAGATGGTAGCGGCGGATGAGCCAAGAAACTCCTTCGATCTGGTGAGGTTTGACGGTCGCCGTGATCCTGAGATCGGCGGGATCGGGAGGGCGGCCACCCTCGTCGCAAAGGTCGCTCGACAGGACGAGCTTCGCCGCCAGAAGGAGGCGCCGCTCGTACTCCATCGCCTCAAGCACGGGGAGCGGCAACAGGGTCAGGGGAAGCTCACTCGTCGAAGACACGTGATATCTGCCGCTCGCTCGTGACTTATATCGAACGTGCTCTGCGCGTGTCTTGATGTTTGATGGATAGGATTGCATCAAGAAACGTCAGCTTATACGAACCGTCACGTGTCGGGTCCGTCTCGCTTACGAAACTTAACCGAACTGCTTGCTGTTTGCGTTCCACCGGGCCGCCGTCGGACTCGGGGATTGCGGATTTGTATCCATTTAAAAGTTAAAACGGATCCGAATAGAAAGTAGTTGCGGGTTTCGGGGTATCTAAGTAGTTAATCGGATTCGGATGCCATTCATCTCCATCCCAGTCGAGCTCGGCTGCCCGCGCCATCGCAAAGCTGTTCATCGGTCTCTCCTCCCTCGCCATTCAGCATGCTTCTCGAGAGCTGGACTCGCGACGATGACATCGAGGTACGTGAAACGAACGAGATCAAGATGCGCCTTCGGATGATATCCGCCCTGGAGGGCTCAACCAGCGCCTTCCTGTTCCTCGGGTTCGATAAACCCTAAGATCTTCCTGTTCTTAGGGTTAACATGTAGGGTTTTCATTGGTTATTGCATGTTGTTCCAGTCTCAGACACTTTATTTGATGATATGGACTTGATTTATGTTCGATTTTGCAGTTGGAATTTTGATCGAATCTTGAAGGTTTTTGGTGCGATTGTTTCAGCGTCTCTTGTTCTGTTCGAAAGATTCGTCCCAAGATTTACTTAGGGCTTGACGTTGTGTTGTTCAATCCTGCATCGTTCTTTCAGTTGGAGGTTCGCAGATGTGTTGACCGTGGGCGATCTCTTCCGGCGAGCTATGCGCCACTGGCGTACGAACCTTGGACCACTGGAACTCGAGGCTGCGTTGAGGATCCTCAATACTGTAAGACTTTGTTCATGTTTCGCATGTTGGTATTTGGGGCTGCAAGTGCATATGGTTAGTCTTGTGCAACATAACATGCTTTGAGAAAAGTTACTTTGTCGCTTAAAGAGGTCAATGATCTACTATGCATGCTACTGATCTTCTAGTCACTATAATGCATGGCAAATATATCAGCGCTTCAGTAAGTTTAGATGTTTCAAATGACTATTTTGTTCCTGAGTTACTGGGAAAATGCTGATAGCTAAATTTGGCAACATTTAGAATGATATGTGTGTGTATATATGTGTATGTATACATACATATATATACACATACATACACATACACACATACATATATATATATATATATATATACATACATACATATATAATTTGGTGAGTGGCACATGCGGCATGTGATTCCATATAAGTGCATACTGGACCAGTACCACATTGAATGGACCAATGACAATCGGCATGCATGAATATAGATGACTTATAGGCAGGAAATGGTTATTCATGTTCTTACAAGGATTAAGTTATGCATTGGGTTATCGTTAAACTTTTTTGCTTGTTTTTTAGTTTAATAATGGGATTATATAGCTGTGAAGTTATGAATCATTGATTTAATCTCAGATGAATTAATCATTTGTGAGCAGCTTTTGTTTGGTAGAATGCTTATAATGTTATTGGCAAGTCAAATGCTTCGTCAACTTAGTTATTCTCAAGTTAATTGGACATATCATCAGAATCTTTCATCAATGGAACAGTGAAGGTAATGACCACCTGTTTTGCGGTAGAGATACAAGCCAAAAAGTTTTTAAAATGATACATAGTGACCTATGCTAGTTGGCAAAAATATCAGCATGGTCATATAAACAACATACAGCACGGCTTCGCATATCACTGGATGGGTCAGCATTGGCATGTTTGCACAAACACGATAGCCCTTCAATGAAGGCTGAAGGAACAAAAAAGGATGCCTAATGTTGTTATTTTATTCCCTTAATGCAAGAGGGGCTGTTCAGACTTCATTAACCTGATCTGAATTTTGGCCACTGGGGCCACTACATTGGCTCTGTTTTTTGCTCATAAGTTGATCGGTGGAATGTTGTAGCTATTGTCCCTGAAGATCTGGCTAGCAAATCTAAACTTAAAGAGATCTATAAAGTTCTTCATCAAGCTTGTTAATCAACCAAAAAAGAGGCATGACGGCTCATTGTATGTGTTGTTTGTTTGATCAGGCAAACCAAAGATCATTGATTTTGTCTCTTATGGCAATTACAGTACAAGCACCATAAATATGTCTGACCAATTTATAAGTCATTTAAAGTTTAAATTGCTTTGAAGACACGCCATATAGTGTCAGTTCACTCCCCTTTATCTTGTACTTTGATGATTATGTAAAGGATATCATGTGATTTGGGAACATCAAATTTATGAACATGATTTTACTTCATCAGTGGTGACATGTTTGTGTGGTTATGACTTGTGATTCTACACTTATCTCAGATTGTACATCTGCAAATTGCAACCTGTTCACTATTAGATTACTGACAGATTGACAGAAAAGCACAGAGTTCAAAGAGATGCTGAAATTGGATGGTTTGGAATGTCCTGCTATCAATGGAAAATTGGGAACGAGAAGGATGAGAGTGGAGCTCTTAAAATTTGAGAGAACAACATGCGAATATGTAAATTTGGCTTTTATGGCCCTTCTTGTTTCTCGAGACTTTTGTGGCCCTTTTCTATTATATGTATGACTCCTAAGGAGAGAAGCCTGATGGTTGATTATATTAATGTTTGCATCAATCATGTCCTTGTTGGAAGTAAGATGTAGTTTTCTTCTATTTCTTCTTAAAATGAAAATGCCATGGTGATTGGGTAGGGAGATTGAAGGTGGGTTTTCAGAGATAGATTACCTTCTGAAACATAATTTGAATGTTTCTACATATGTGTAAAAGATATGGTAGTTATTTTTCTCTGCTAAGAAATATGAAGTTGAGAGTAAAGCCCTGAATGCATATTAAGATGTATGAATAGCCTTATGGACTCTCTGTATGCTTTCTTGAAAACAACCTAGTTCATTGTATATTTCTCTCAACAAATGCTCCAATAATAAATTGCTATGTGTGTTGATGGATGACAAGATAACAATGCAGGAAGGATGACATGAAATAAAAGCTAAAGGATGGTTCAGGCATACTTGCACAAGTTCTCCTAAATGTCACTTAAAGGTGGTTACTATTCCAGTTCCAGCACTATTTAGATGTATATTTGGAAAGTTTTACATGTTGGTGTTAGATATATGCCCCTGATAGTCATTTATGTGACCTAATTTTTAAAGGCATAGATATTATATAACCTTGGAGGAGGGCATCCAAAATTGCAAACATATTCAGCAATATGTGTTAAATACAGCACGTGAAGTCCAAATATGTTTTAGAGGTGATTCCTTTCTGATGATATGTGGAAATAATAGTGGTGTTGAGTGAAAATATATAGTTAGTGTGATCAATTGAATTGATGCCTCTAGCCCTTGTAGATGTTTTTCTGTTTTTTTTTTTTTGAATGAGTAGATCAGCTTATTATGCTAAAATCTCTTCAATCGACTTGTTTGTTAGTGTCTTTAGCCCCTGTTAATCATGATCTCATCATCCCCACTATTTTAGGTTCAAGAATAGTGTATATTGTGCCGGGCCCATGTGCTCTTTACTGTTACTAAGAGGATCTCAGTAAAGCATGGGGTCTATCTGGCTCAAGTGATATTGTGTATATGCATGTTAGCTAGTTTGGCCCTTTGTTTGAAATGGCACTTACTGAGTCATTTACATGGTGCTGACATTCATGCTCGTAGGTAACTACGTGTACATTCCCCAGTTATGGAAGATACAAGTATCACTATTTGGACATTATGCCTTCGAAGGACCATCAACTTCCACAGGCATAAAATCTGGTACGTCCAACTCAACGTAAATTTCAATCTCCTTGATTGTGCATTGTAGTTTGATGTCTTAGAGATAAAGCCACCAGTGGCTATGTAACCTTACCTAAAAATTTCAACTGACATTACGTAGTTAGAATCTTTTTTCTTTAATCTCTTTACATCCCAAATGGATCGAAAGTGTCTTAGATTTTTCTTCCCCACTTATCTTATGTTCTGTTAATGGATGGATCCCACAGATTCACCTAAGCCTCTTCCAATGCAAAGAATTGGTTGTCTTGGATCTTTCTTCTAGTCAGTATTTGATGTGGGTCTTCTACCAGCCTGGTCCATTGAGATTCAAAATAATTTGTTGCTTTCCTCGACTTCTACACTTTTGTGTGCTTATCTTCTCTGGTTCATGTATCTGCATTATCAAAAGCAACTTGTGACAGTTCATTGCAGTTTCTATCTACGTTAAGCACATCAGCTGCTGGCAATATTACCAGTTTAAATATTTTGGAATACACAGCATGAATTTTTGATGTTTAACATTTGCTTTAGTTATCTTTCAGCAGTGTAATCTGTAATTTCATTGTGCAGTTTGTATTTGGCTTATTGTGCTTAAGACTGAATATTAGTGGGTGCAACTATCGAAATCAGTTTAGCATCTTAGAAAATTCTGCAGAAAACTCTCTTTGGGAGTGTGAGAATTTTGTCAAAACTCTTACGCTGTATTTTCTATCTGAAGCAATGAAGTACTTATTTTTTCTTCATCCATAAGATGTCTTCTTTCTTCTCCAGCAGAGACTTTGGCTGTCCTGTGGCAGAACAGCACATGTATGGCCAGTGTTGCTGCACGAGGTGCTCAAAACATCCACTCCGAAGTGATGCGTAAGTTGGCGAATCTCCGGTATATCGAAGCAACAAGGTGTAGCAGATCCACTCCGACCTCTAAGGCCTTACGTCCCCAGTGGGCGGTGGGAGGAGCCGGGAAGGGAGGTTCGGCCACCATAAAGAAAAGCAAAGCAGGCAAAGCCAAGTGCTGGCAAAAGGGTCGCCATCTGAACTAGCGTGGCAAGAAAACGTGTGGTGGTATCGGAGATTCTAGGAGATAAGAAGACATCTGACAAAGGAAGAAATAGAAAGGGTCCTCCTTTCCTCACCTTCGCTCTCCATGCTTTAGTAATTCTGTCTTTCTTGCCTCTCCAGCTTGTCGATCAATACAAGATTTCTTCCTAGAATTGTTCTGTTGCTGGTTCTGTTGTAGAAATGTTGTTGACTCGGTTACCAAGTTGTGGAAGGAGTGACGGAGGTATGGTTCATCTTTATTCCCTCCGCTTTACATATTTTGTCAGAATCAACGAGGACTAAGTCGAGGTGTCGCGCTGGCTGTTTTTATTCCGGCATGAAACTGGAGGACCGATGGAGATGGGAGATGCTTTACCCTATCTTTTTCTTTTTGTCGTGTAGGAAAAAGGAAAGGAGATTCTTGATGTGAGGACAAGGTTGGAGGATTGTTAGGAGGATTCCGATATCAGTGACAAAGTGCTTGCGACTGGTGGGATTGGTTGATCTCATTCAGATCCTCCTTCGGTTTAAGGTTCTGTGAGCCGCTCCACTAATCCACCTCACAATGTGATTGATTGATTGATTCTTCAGCCAAGCTGTTGCTATCGATCGTGGCATCCTCGCTTTGACACGTTTGGCCACCGTGACGGACGCACCCTCAACGCCAACCACATCATCCATCTCGCGGGGTGAACAACACGCTATGCCATTCCGATAGCCACACGTGTACTTCACATTATTCCGGTCCCGTGGGAATCGATCAACTCCTTTTTACCGACTCTTGACCGGGATATTCTCTCGAATAAATCTGATATGATAAATCTTCTCTAGTGCATCAAAAAAAGAGACGCAACATTAGCTCTTTATAAAAAAACTCACAATTGATCATCAAAAGGACCTCGGAAATCTACACATGGAGTTTCATCCGAAAAAACTACATAACAAATCTAGCCCTTAAGGAAAAATATCATTCAGATCTTATTAGTCCAATGTGGTCTGGATACTAAAACCAGGGAAGTTTTTCTATTTGATCTTTTCAATGTCAAAGTTAGTAAATCAAGATGTATTAGTGCGACTTGAGTGGTCAAAAAAGTCAGCTCACATTTTCATTGTGGTGGAGATAAATTATCTGGTCATAAAGAAGTATAATATTTAATAAAATATTTTATAATGAGACAGTCTTTAACCATCTCTAACAACCTTCCTCTAACCTCCTATCTACATGGGTGACATATAGGGGTGGGGGCGTAACCCATAACCACATGGGCAAACGAGTGGAGGGTGATCTTTGTATTCTCCTTCCACCTTGGGCACCATGTGGTGGTTGCATGTCGGATGACGTTTAGATAACAATGTACTCCCTATCATTTGTCTCCCCCTAAAGACATGCTTTGAGACTCTTGTCAGAGGGGTCTGAAGTGCGACATTTGGTTCATTTGGCATGTTGAGTTCATACTTCTTCGATACATGATCAACTTGGTGGCATATTTAGTTCATATGGCATGAATTCGTTCAATATGTCTACATCGTCCGAAATGAGTTTGTCTGACATGTCTATCCGGGATCATCTCTAGCATTGCTGGTGGTAATTCATTATTGACCTACACCTCATATCGTCGAGGGACACACATTGGCTAAATGATGTCGAGTTTTTCGACCTCCACGCCTTAGGCGAAGGCGGGGATTATACTTTCCAACCTCCACACCTCAGTAGAGGTAGGGGTTGGGTTTCCCAACCTTCACACTGCAGGAAAAGGTGAGGTCATACCTCTTGAGCCCCATGCCTTGGGCGGAGGCACTTCCCAACATCCCCGCCTCAGCAAAGGCAAAGGAGGTTGGGCTTCCTAACCTCCCCATCTCGAGCGAAGGCAGGGATTAGACTCACATACCTTGGATATATTTTGTCGTGTGTCTTCCATCATGACGAGTTTCTTCTGACGCGGGTCGGATTTTCCCAACTCATGTGTCTCATGTATATTTTGTATGGTGTGTCCCACCGTAGCAAGTCTCTTTTTATGCAGGTCCGATTTTCCTAACTCATATAACAAATAAAGAATGATTTATTTAATTATATAGTTTAGGCTCCTAGAATATGACATCTTCCACCTTAAGTACATTTTGCTTTGAGCCTCCGACCATAGTGGGTTTTTTTCTACACAGGTCAAGTTTTTCGTTTATTAATCACTTTTGTGCTTTCCGAGGTGGACTTCGCGCATTAGTCACTTTTGTGCTTTTTGAGATGATATTGGTACATTAATCACTTTTGTGTTTTTCGAAGTACCCTTTTATCAATAGATGTCCTTACAGAACCAATTCGAAAGGACACTTACCATCATCGTGGGAGGAGAGAGATTGATCACCTCCTCGTAAATCTCCCTTGAGCATAGGGGGTGAGGCTCACTCTTCCATTTGAGCATTCAAAACTCCCTTAGCCTCTTGGTGCGTCGACTCAATAATACCTCAGTCTTCAAGCATCATGCTCTTTCGCCTCTGTAGGCTGATATGTCTTTCTTTTCTCATACTAGCTCCTACCGATTTCATGACTATCGAATGATCAAGTAGATCGATGCTTTATCCTTGGATAGCCCAAGGGCAAAGGAAGTCCTAACCTCCCCCTTGTCGGGGAGTCGGTTTCCATGAACCCCAAAGGTTCTTCGGGGCTTAGAGTCTTTGAAAAGCATATACGATATAGACTCAATGATGAGTGCACAACTCTTGGATCACTTGCGGAGTTGGTACTCCATCCCAATCAAGTTTGATCTATAAATTTCTTGGCCCAGTAATCATTCATTCAATCTCATGTTCAGGTTATTTTACTTGTCTTTTAATACTTTAAAGTCGGGACTTCATTTTTTCCTCCACCTAGCGATAGTGTATTACCTTCAATAGTGAAGGATATCACCTTCACATATGATGTCTAGCTCATGGCACTACTTGGTAGTGTTCATCGAAGAATGCTGGCTGTTGATATTACCTCACTTGCAAACTCTTTATTGCTTGCTTTCAACTATGAAAGGGAAAAAACGATTTCTACCTAGCTACTCGAGAGGGCTTCAGAGTTAGTGGTGCCCCTTCTAATAATAAGAGTTGGAAGGAGTATTTTTTTCTTATAGGTTTAGGTCAGAATTAAGGGTCTAATCTCGCTTGGTCAACACACTCAATAGACAATACATTTCCCTTCTTATCGAATGAGGAGTGAATCAAATGCTTTAGTTGAGAGATATACTCTCTTCTTCTAAGGTTGTTCCGAAGATGGACGAGGATTGACTGATCGATGTATGTCTCAACCCGACTCCTTAGGGTATGACCTAAATACCTCGTCTTCTCACTTTTTTTTTTACTTTAAAGAAAATCAACCCATGTAGCCTTGTAATTTTAATCTTCTATAGGTATGAACTTTTGAGCATTGAAGAAAAAAAAGGAGATGGTTCCAGGTGCCTCACCCTTGGGACGAGGAACTTGAGGGGGAGAAGATTTCCATAGAGGAATCGAATGAAATGACTCTTGCTTTCGAGGTGCTAGCATTTTCAGAGGGCTCCTAAAATTCAAGGTCTCTTCAAGGAAATGAGGAGAGAGGCAAAGGTCAATGCTTGACTTATGCAAGGGGAAATCTCTGCCCCTCACAACGTTGTAGATAGCCAACCTATCCAACATGATCTCTAATACACCATTGCAACTAAGATGGTAGGGTTTGCAAGAGGGAAAAAAATATGGGGCGATAGTATAGCCACAGAGCAGTACTGCCATAGATGTAACATCCCATTAGTCCCACATCGGAAGTGGGCAATGTGTATGATTAGCTTATAAGGGTCTGATGAGTGTACTACATTAACTCCCGTTTAAGCATTTTGGTCCGCGATCGAAGGACCAAAATGGAGTTATTGGCCAGTTGGCTCATCAGACTTGGGTTGTGACATTTGGTATCAGAGCCGACCTAGAATTTGGGTAGGGTGAGAGGGCTCGAGTAGGAAAGGGCTACCCGTGGAGGAGTCAGAGAACTTATCATGGCGTGGAGCCACCACTGAGTTAAACCTCACATGCACTATGCTAGGGTTCGATCTGGGTTATGTTTAACCTTGACAAGGACGTCAAGCTAATTGGGTTGGGGATATTGTAACATCCCATTAGTCCCAC